GGATGCTGCCTGGATTGTTCTTGATTGTAGTACAAGTTTAGTACTGGCTGTGCCTCGTTTCGGATGCTGGCTGGATTGTGCTTGATTGTAGTACAAGTTTAGTACTGGCTGTGCCTCGTTTCGGATGCTGCCTGGATTGTGCTTGATTGTAGTACAACATTTCAGATGAGACTGCATCGTGTCATTCTTGTACGTGATCTCGTTTTATGCGGTGCCCCTATCTCGTTTCCCTCTTAGAGGAAGTTCAGACCAATAAAATACCTCGCGGGAGGTATCTCGTTTCAAAAGGACATAGTACAAACGTAAAAAAAAGCCGTCGCTCATATACTTATGCATGTATACATGCTTCCTTTTTACAGCTTCAGATGCATATCCAGATACACGTACAGGTGCAGATGGAGCTACAGATGCAGCTACAAATGTATACAAAAGGAGAGAGACAGAGAGAGAGAGAGAGGGAGAGAGAGAGATAGAGATACAGATAGATACAGACATAGATACCTTTACGGATGTGGATATTTTTTCCCTCTCGCATAGATGCTTGGGTTTTTTTCGCAGAAGTGCGGGCGATGCCCGGTGACCGGGAGGAGGAGGAGGAGGAGGAGGCGGATGAGGAGGAGGAGGAGGGGGAGGAGGAGGAAGGAGGAGGAAGGAGGAGGAAGCAGGAGTAGGAGGCATATGTTTACCCATGTTGGATGAGGAGTAGTGTTCCAGCATCGATAGTTGAGTCATGGCAGGATAAAGAGAGGGATTAACCACTCCTCTTCTCAATTCCTGCATGCTCCATGGTCCTTGCATGGGTGCGTACGTTCTCATGGACGATATGTTGCCAGAGCTTGCTCAGAATACCTCCTGGCCTGATGTTGAAGCAATTTAGCTTCGATCTCGCCGAGTTCGATTCGCTGACCCCGGATCTTGACCTCTAGCAATCGCAGCATGCAAACACTGAATATCGACAGTGGCGCGCACGACCTGGAAATCGATGCGGCCAACGTAAAGCAGAGATCCGTCGTCCGCCCACCGTACCAGGTCACCTGTCTTGTAGAGGCGCGGACCTCACAGGTAGAAAAAGCCGACAAGTCAAGGGGTTCCTGCTTCACGGTCGAGGCACCGTGGAGAGGGGAAGACTCGACAGAGCGAGCCACCCAGGAAGGCCCCTGCAGCAGAACGAAGATTGAAGAAAGAGTTGGGAGAACCGTGTCCCCGCTGGCGCAGCCTCCCAAGCAGAGCCCGGCCCTGCACGCCCCTGCCAGGCCGGTCCATGTGGCCACCGCGTTTGCCCCTCCAACAGGGAGCACTGGTGTCACTGCTAGAAAGCCTTCTTTGACGCTTGCGCCTGGTCATCTGCCCGGCCTTCGAAAGGATTCGACCTGGCACTTTCTGTCAATGCCCCTGCATTCTGGGATGAAGACGCAGGTCTTCAAAACAACTCAACAATCGCAGCAGAACGACCGACGAATTGGGTCATCTACATGCAACAAACCACTCTTGTGTGAGCGGTAAAAACTGTATAATCTTTCACATGCGTTGAAGAGTTTGTTGTGGCCCACGCTTGCATGCCAAGCACTCAAGCACCGCAAGTGGACCGCAAGCGTGGACTCCGAGTCATGGCATTTCGTCGTTCGTACCCGGAATCCCGCGCAACTGGAACTGTCAACCTACTCTCAGACCCTGAATTTCCAATGTGATGGCAACACACAAAACTTGCCGCTGTCAGGTCCAAGCGATTCAAATATCCCGCAGCCACCTAGCACGGTCGACAACTTAGACAATCCAACACACGGCATGGAGCAGAGCGACCAACCTGGAGTCCTCCAACACAAAGCTCTCCAACGAGCCCACACCTTAGAAAAGGGTGCCCAATTTTGCCATGTTTAGTAAGTTCCACACGACTCCGGGTGCTCCCGCGGTTGCGGCCTCATCTCCGGATCCTTATCGGAGCAACACGCAAGGATCAAGCCGAGGGCAAGGCGCAGAGACGGCCAAAACGAATTTTGAAAAAGGTGACTGTAGGAATACCGATACGGAGAGGAAAGGTCCCCTGCTGAACTCAGGCAGCAACAAGCACGTACAGCTGCATGTTGGGAACCGGCTCTCCCTTGGTGAATCGTCACAGGCCGCCGCACGCCGTCACACGGGGACTTTGAGAAGTGTGCAATCGAGGGCAAACCCTCGCCAGGACACACCTGGCACCTCGCCAAACGAATGACCAGAGCGTAGCCCTTCCCATTCTTGTTGCAAGCCAAAGTCAATCCAAGGGGACGGCATGGTGACATTCACGCAGCATTCCGTGGGGCCTGATTCGGGCGTGGCGCGCTTGACCCCTGTGCTCTGTGACTGCAGACTTCCAGGTCGCAGGGCCGTAGATGTTGACAAGCTGAAAGGGAGCGTGGTGCGGCGGACGCATGTGGAGCTTGTCGCCGCCCGTGAACTCGCAAGTAGCGCAGAAAGCGTCGGTGCTTTTGGAGCCTTACAGCAAGCTGCCCAAGCCCCCTGCCAAAGTGCGAAGCCTCGGATTCTGAGCACCGTCTCACCGACCCCTTCTTACACAAAACACCAGAGTGATCCAAAGTGCCTCATTGAGGGATAGTGAGGTTCTGCCAGCACCGCCTGCCCGTATCACACAGCCGATGCAATCTGCAATCAACGTGGCGACATGTCGACAGAGCTTCTACAGCCTCAGCCAGCTGGGTGGTCAGAAAAGCCACAGTTGCTCCGGCCTCAAGACGGCAAAGAACACGCGCACACACACACACACACGCAGTGGTGAGGCAGGCTGCCGTGCCTCGGCATACCATTTGCACAGCGCCTGCCCACATGTTCTGGTTTGCAGTTCGCTTCTGGAGATGCCAGGCATGACATGATTCTTCGTGGACCTGGTCCGGAGTTCTGCGTCTAAAGTGAAGACTCGCCACTGCAGCACTACTGGATGCTGCAGCAAGCTTTTGAAACATCCAGCCTCTGGAAGCAGGCGCAAGTTGTCATCGGGAACCGGAAGCACGCAGCCTTGCCAAGGAGCGCCCGGTCCGAGTTGAAACCCCTCATGGTAAAAGACCGGGTGTTCAGAGAAAAGCGCTGTCTGAGCTGCCACGCCCCCAATACTGAGTGTTGGCCAAATCTCCTCGCAGCGCAGTCAGCGCAGTGCGGTGCGCGTGGCGCGGCGACGCGGCGGTGCGGCTCCGCCAAGGAGGCATCGAAGGAGAGCCCTGCGGCGTGAGGAACGCGGTCCTTCCAGGGCCGCTCGCCGCACGCACCACTCGTGGTCTCACGTTTCTTTTAGCTCTCAAAAGCTCCTCGTGAGTCAACTGGTAATAGGGCACATGCCAGCGAGTGTAGGCCAAGACGTTCTGGTGGGTCAAGAGAACTCCCTGCGAGCGACGCGCGGCGCGCGCAGGGCGCAGGTCCAAAACGATCGCTCCTTCGGTACCCCCGTCGAGCCACTGGTGAAGAGGATATAAGCCTTATTTTCATGACTTCGAAGCGGCTTCAGGCAGCTTCAGGCTTCGCTTGGCAGGTGGAAAGAAAGCCCAGCACCACATCATCGGGAGCGTAAGTTGGCCGCCCGCCCTCCACGCCTGGCTTGACTGCCAAGCCGGAAAAGGTATGAAGCTCTTGCATGCAATGCACTGCCTTCACCAAGGCTTGCCGTGTCTTGGATGTCCTCCATGTAGAGAATTGCTGGGCTTGGCAGCCACGTCAGCTGCAAATCCCGATTTGTGATTGCAAGCCGCACCTGGCACTTGTTCTCTCCACTTGACAGCACAAGCTCATCGCCAATCTGCCTCCGCATCCTTGAGCATCTGCTCCTTGGTGCACTGATTTCAGAATTGAGATTCAGATCTTCGCTCTGTCCCAGCTGCCAGGCGTGGTCTGGGAGCGCGGAGGTCCAGTGGCACGCAACAGCCCCCGGCGCCTCATGAGGGGTGCCGCGGAGCGCGGCGGCTGGGCGGCTCGAGGCGCAGGTCGCTCTGGGCTCCCAACGCCAGACCCCAAGCAGCGCAAGCACCTCAAAGAGAAACTCAAAGAGTCCGAGAACTGGCGCTGCAGAGGCTTGGGGCGATGCCATTGAGACCCCGCGAGGAAGCAGGATCGCGACTGCACCGACATCTGCATCGGGCAAAGCCTTTCCGGCACAGGTCGTACACTGTCAACTGAAGGCTCGACTGTGACATGCCTGTCTGGCGGCCACCGCCACTCGGCCGGCCAGGGACCAGAGCTGTGCATAGCTCAAGGGAGAAAGCATGTCACCGTCCTGAACCTGGCGGGCGGGGAAAGACCAGAACATGCATTGCACGGAGTCATGCGCTGGGGCACGCACCACAGCAGAATGCGCAGGCATGTCCACTGCCACGTGTGCAACGAGGTCCAGAACTGATGTCTCGCAGCTGGAAGTGGTGGTGGTCAGGTTGAAGCTTCCGAGGACCTGCCGGTCCTGGACCGCTTCAGGCTTCAGCCTTTACAACGGCCAGATCCTCTGACGCAGGAGTGTCCTCTTCCTGCGAAGTCCACTCCCACTCGCGGACACGCGATTCGGAACCACGCCCCAGCTGGAGCAAGCGGTCGAGGTGATCCTTGCTCCGGGCCGTCTGCAAAACATGAGCCGCTCATCATTCTGCCCCTCCTGTGCTCGCCGAACGAAGGTCTCCGAGAAGCAGGACCTCCGCCAGAGCCACCTCAGAGCTTTGTACATTGTACGGGCATTCGGGTTTCATCAGATTTCCTGAAGACCTCCTTCCAGGTCCAATAACAGCAAAAGCGGTCTAATGTTTTGAGCGACTTAAGTGCCAAGGAACTTCATCACCTTGCCATCCTGCCCCGAGCACCTGCAAACCATGAGCTCGAAACCTGCAAAGCTGAAGCAGATCAAGAAACACGGCGAGTGTTGCAAATGCCATAAGTGCACAGCACCCGCTGCACGGCTGCACCTGCTGGGGCGGTGCCCATGCCTGCAGAGTCCTCACTGCCACGTGCCAGAGAGAGGCTGACAGGCCCAGGGCAGAGCAAAGCAGCCCGTGATAGCTCGCAGGGGGAGCAGCGTCCTGAGCGTCTCCGTCCCCAACCATGACCTCGAAACTCGGCACGGCATGGCACGGGGCATGGGCCCGTCGCGCCTGGGTGAATTCGGCTTCGGTGGCAAAGGCGTCGGCCTCTCCTGCAGCGACCTGCGACTTAGCGAAGCTGCGCTCCGCGGAAGGCGCGCACGGCCTTGGGCTTCGGGCCTTTAAGTCCTCGAAGGAACAGGAGGAAACCTTCGAGTCGACTTTGAGGAATCCAACCGCGACAGTATACGGCTGTGAAGGGTGCCTCTGTGACCCTCACGGTTCGCGTGCTTCTCGCTAGCCCCGCCTTCGCGCAGCGGGGCAAATGCGGTGCTCGGCAGTACCCTGCTGCTCCCAAGCTGCTTTGGCCTGGACCTTCAGGAGGCCCAATGCCAGGTGTTCTTGGTGGCTGTATTTGTGAAGCAGCACGAAAAGTGCTGCCACCACTTCCCTGAAGTCGGGGAAGTCCGCGTCCTCCCCCAGGTTCACAAAAGCGCCATGATTCGGGAAGGCCCCTATAAGGCCCCTTGCACGCTCCTGCCCTCTCCAAGGTAAGACCAACTCTGCGACAGTGGGCGCGGGCAGAGCACCTGTCCTAAGGCCGCAAAAGCGCGCCGGGCCGGCCGTGAAAAAAAAGGACTCAGAGAGACGAAGAAGCCACTTCCAAACGCGCATGCATCGCTCTCAGGTCTCAGTGCCCGGCCCCGACCGGGGCCCATCCTCAAAATGGAAATCGATGTAGGGCAAGCCTTGCAAGGAGTGGCACAAAAAGCACGGCCTGCGCGGTGACTCGCTCTTCTGTTCAGGCCTTCGCTGCCCATGTTCGTCGATAGCAGGCGGCACCGTGGCCATCACCGCAGCCCACCCTACCAAACAGCTTCTTGCCTCCATTCCATGAAGCCCTTGAAGCCCTTGCAATGTCAGTTAATGTCAGTTACATGCACATACCAAAGAGAATTAAAGAGAACTCATTTGCACTACAAGCTTGCGCGATAGCCCTTCGATGTTGCCCCTTCTCCCCCCACCATATTATGAAGCTGAGAAGAAGAGACGAGCGAGGCGAGCGAAGGCTGGACGGAGAGCAGAGCCTGGCCGGAGGTTCGGGAGGCCCTCCCTCCTCTCAGCGCGGAGCACTCAGAGCCCTCTCTTTTTTCCGGAAGACTTCCCATCAGACAGAGAGCGGCTTAAGAGCTAAGCCGCTAAGCTGCGGGGCCAGCGTAGAGCCGCCGGGTCGTCACGACTCTCAGACCCAGCCCTGCCAGATCATAGTGCCGAAGACACACCGGGTCCTAGCAGCTCTCATGACGCAATCGCAATCATCGCATCCCGAATCCCGCTCCCGAAGTTCGAGGTCGCCCGCAAGGAGCTTCATGCAAAGGTAAGGTATGCCTGCCTCAGTAAAGAATCGTCAAAAAGACTGAAAGCAAGGCAGCTAGCAGTACGCGCGGAGGCGCTGCGCCTCGGATGTGATCCGGCCCTTCAGCTGTGCCACAGTGGTGTCACCCGTGACGCTCTCCTGCCGGGCCAAGACATGTCCCCGATCGCAGCTCCTGGCGCCCGTGGTGCCCGCTCCCTGAGCTGTCGTCCCGAAGGGAGCTCGCACCTCACCAGGTATGCCATTGCATGGAGAAAGAGACGAGCAACGCATGCATGGAAGATTCCGATGTTTCACCCAAGGCACTCGAGGTCAAAGGCTGCGCAGCCTCCCAAGTGCACAATGGGGCCTCCAGGACACTCGTCCGGAACCTCACTGCACTTACGGCCCCCAATCTGCGAGTGAGACCTCAACAAGGCGCCGACGATGTTGTACTCCAAGAGGGTTGCTTCCTGGGCGCAAGAAAAAGAACACTTATGAAGAGGCTGCAACGGTCACACGGACAACGCGCACGTCTCCTCGTCCAAGAGCTCCACACCGTTGAAAAACAGCGGCTCCTCGGCCTTCCACAGATCGGCTAGCGCCGCTAACGCTGGGCCTTGCGGCCTTGCGATTTTAAGCGCTGTAACGCTTCCAAGTCGCGTCGCCAACCCTGGCCTGAAGTAAAAATCAATCTGCCTTTGTGCAGTCCGCCGCTCTATGCGTGCAATTTGAGGAATGCCTTCACGTCCTGTTTCAGATCATGGATCGTGTCTGTCTCCTCGCAGGTAGACAGCCTGTGTCTCACCTGCTTCAAGTGATTTCATCAGCCGGTCCTCAACCGTCAAGAGCAAGATGTTCTGCTGCCTTATATAGATATGCTGTCGCAACTCCCAGCTCGGAAAGCAGCGAAATCATGGTGCTGTGAGAGAGCCGATTCTTGACGCATATCTCATACGGCATGGCCCCGACACCTCGGAAACCAGGAAAGCTCTTCAAAGGCCAATGCTTCCAAGCCAAAGGCTCCAGCCCGATTTGGGACCAGCTTTTGGTCTTCAAGCGGAGGCAGCCGAGAGGGCCGAGTCGAAAGAAAGGACACCAAGCGGACTCAAGCGACAATGCAAAAAGCCTATGTAGGCATCATTGCGGCAGAGCATTTCACTTCTCGCAACATCACCGAGTGAACCGATTTCAACAGCCGACAGCGGACTTTGGCCGTCGGATCCCTTCGCCTTCAGCTGCAATCTTGCTCCCCGCAGCACCTCAGAAAGTCTCTGAGCACAGAGGCTCGCGAAGCCTCTGCGGAGTCTCAGCTGAGGGCTGAAAGACATTCAGTCCGAAGATCGATAAACCACTTGGATTTCCTGAGTTGTGCTTCCTCCGACGGTTGGAGGCACCTGCATGGCGTCCAAAAGCGCGCAACTGCGAGCCGATGCGAGTATACGGGCTCCGAGCATCGGAGCAGTTCGATCGATCGCCCGGCAAAGTACCTCACCACTTCCTGCGCTGCTTGCGTTGCTTTGCTGCCGTCGAAGTGCTCTGAGACTCTCAGCGCTGCTCCTTGCTGGGGCGCTTCAGTGAACTCCAGAATCCACATCGGAAAAAGTAAGTCTTCCGAGACTGCAAATGCCGCTTTTCTTCTCCAGTGCCAGCACCTTTTGGAGAAAGAAACAGGCATCCCGGCATCTCCCCCACACAGTCGCTGCGCCTTCCAAGGTGTAGAGCACCAGGTGAAGCGGAGGTCTGCCACAGTAGAGATTGAGATCCAGTGGCGTGAAGATCGGGATGCCTGTGGCCTTGCAGCAATGGCCGAAGCAAATCACATCAACAAATCACCACACCGACCTGCCATTCGATGACGTCGCAGAAGCGGCTCACCCCCCAGAAGCAGAAAGTGAAGGTAGGCCCAGGCCTGGCAGCTGCGTCTGAGGGCGGGTCCCCTTAATGGCCTGCTTTCACTACCCTTGGCCCCTTCTTCGCCTAAGGTCCAACGAGTCCACCATTCGACGGTACTCTCGGAGCTGACCGAACCTTCTGTGGCCATGCTCCTTGCCACAGCGAGATGTCCAGTGGGCATTTCCGACCGCTGCACTGAGTCAAGTGCATGGAGATTGGGATCCGTCAGTTCGGGTGGCGTCTCACCCTCAGGCGTCTCGATGAACTGGTCGAAGGTCTCATCGCATGACTGCTATTCGTTTGCCGTTGCGGCATTGCTGCCGGATGGCTTGGGCTGCGGCCCACAAGGGCATCGCGATCGTGGGGCGCTCTCGCTCGCCCGCCACCTTGAGCAGCCCGAGCTCACGAAACTACGTCTTTCATCTGTTTCGCGCATCCTCCGTAGGATCACCAGGGGTGTGGTAAAGCCGATCACCGACAACCTGGCGCATGCCGCCAACCTCGGCATGTACGACACTTGTACGACTGTGTCTGGGAGGCCAAGGCGGCCAAGGCGCTGAAAGATCCATCACACGCCTCGTCTCCGACGACTCTCACTCTCTCACTGCCAGAGAGCGTTGGCACTCCGAGCGGACTCTGAGCATCCAGGCTTGGTCGCAGCCGACAGCGGCACGTACTCCTCAAAACACAAACTCCGTGCAGTGCCGCTGCTGGTCTGACACACGAAATCTGCATCCTCCGGTCACCCCGGTCTGCAGGGTCCTCCAGTTCAACTGCAAAGAAAAGATCCGTCTGGTTTAGCCGTCTCTTGAATTGGAGGCGCAAGCGGAGCTCCCACAAGCGCCTGACGCACATTCCACAAACGAAAGTGCCACTTCGCACGTCATGCAGCAAACATGCCAGATGTCGCTTTTTGCCAGTGAAGTGCTCGCCATAGCGGTACTGGCCCGAGTCGTTGAGTCGACTGCAGAAACACGCCGCTGGGGATGGAGATGTCAGGCTTGGAAGGTGCTGCAAGATGCTGCAGTGAGAGCTACATGAGCTAACCATGTCTGCACCTATCGTACGTTGGACGATGCAGCGGTAGGAACTGGCCTTTGCAGTTCCTGAGTTCCGTCATGAAACATGCATGTGCTGCGATGTCCTTCTGCCAACGAGCGTCTCGTTGTCAAAGTCGAAAGCTTCGGCACTATTGCTGTGAATAAGCCTGTTGGGCGGCTGAAACCTGAGGGCAGCACACTTCTGAAATCACTGCTGAGCAATGCTCGGATGCGCACCCTCCCTCCAAGTGGGGCTGCTCCGGCATGCCCATGGACAAAAAATCCTACAGGAGCTCGTTCACTTGCAAGCCACGTGGACGGATGTGATGGCCTCCTCATCGAATTCAACAAGGCTGGTTGCAGCCGTGGCAGTACCGCTGGCAGCCTGCCGAATCATGCAGGCTTCGAAATCGAACCCTCGCGTGGAACGCTTCTCGGACAGGCACCCTCTTAACGCCAACGGACGACATGAGACACGCCTGGCAAACACTAAGAACTAAGTTTGCATCAATGCTTCACATCCCGCGCGAGCTGCTGAGCCGACGACACCTATCAAGATCGCGAGTATCAAACTGCTTGCGAAAGTCCAAAAAGTCCAAACCTGACAACAAGGATGGAGCACACTTTGCTGAATCCAAGGGTGGCAGAAACGCACTTCTTGTAACACCTCGTCGCCAAGCGCCGAAGCTGCGGCAAACATGCCAGCTGTCGTGGCCTGCAGAAGCTGAACTCTAGCAGCTAGCAGCGGCCGAGGGGCTTTGCATACGAATAGAAAAAGTATGGAAGAGTTGAGCTTTCTCTTGGAAGTCAAGTGCGGTGCGAATCCTCCAATGGAAAAGCGAGGACCAGGGACTGTGAAGTCTCGAACACATGGCCTTGAACTTCTGAATGTCAGTTGGAAACATACAGAATGGCTTCAAATCTGGAGCGTCAAGGGGGCTTCGCTACTCAAATCTTGCTACCTGAACGGACATGATGAGATTGATGTCTTGAACAGGCAGTCTGCGCACGCCTCCAGCACCATGAGTTAATTCGGCAGCACGGAGCTGGCATTTGCCAAAGCATCCGAGTGAACAAGACTCTTCCTACCACAGTTCCTCCGAATACGCTCTTTAACTCTTTAACCGTTGTTTCAACATGGATTTCTTGGTCGCCCTGCCCCCCCCCCCTGACCACTCCGAGACCAATGCACAATCCAAACATCGAGACATGGCAAAAGGAGGCACGTGCACCGCTTCGAAGGGCGTGTTAGAATCTGCTAGAAGCTGGTTTGCAGAGATTTATGCAGCCGACTTTTAAATGCAATTGAAGCCTACCTGCCGAGCAAACGTAGGATTGCTTGTGCGAAGCGTCTCCCATTTGGAGCCGCTCACGGGAAAATGCTGGGAGTGTGCTACGCGGGGATCCCAGGATGCCCGGCTTATCGAGCAGGCATCAAATCCTCCAGCGTGGCCCCCGAACCCTGGCACAGACAGCCGTCCGTGCGATGTGGCACTCAACAGCAGGGTTGCGTGGAAGACACCGACGGATGCCGTCTGTATCAATGCCACCTTTGTGGCCCTCTGCCCTTACTGCAACATGCTGCAAAACTCTGAATGTGTTGGTGCAGGTTGCGTGCACAGCATGTTGAGGCACGTGCAGGTGTGAAACATGTGCTTCAGGAAGGCTTTGCTGACCGTCACTTCTTCTTCTTACCCGGCTTCTTGCTTTTGGGTGGTGAGCTGTCGAACTCCGCCAAAATCTGATCCAAGTCCTCCTAGCGTGGGGCATGGACCTGGAGAAGATCAGCTACAGCGACTGCCATGAGCCTCCACCGGCTTCTCCTTCTTTTTCTTCTCGGTGCCTGTCGCAGTCTAAAGGCGCAGCACCGGCCAGCAGCCCCGTTTGCATGGCTGTCAGCCTGCTGGCTTCGGCTCCGACTCCTGCGCGAGACTGGGCGTTTTCTTCCCGGTCCCCGTCAGCCCCACCCCGTCCTGCGGCGACCAAGGGGGCAGCTCAAGCGTGCCATCCACAATGCCGCGCTGCCACTCCGTGACAGCGTTCTCATCGGCATTTGGCAGTTTAGACCTGATGGTGATCACTTCTCACAACCCACCAACTCTCTTCTCCTTCCAAGACTGTGGCGACTTCAAAAAGGAGCTCACTGCCTCTCTCAGGCGGTTTCGGGCCTTCTTCACCTCGAACTGAAAAATCGAGACCGGGGCGAGGAAGCAACCAGAATCCTACTGAGAATGTCGCCCGGTTGCGGAGTGCGTTCTCGAGGCGCAGGTGTACGGGGGCCGTCAAGGCCAGGGGCCAGACGCCCTTACCCCCAGCCGCTTCACTGACCTAAACTTAAAGAGGTCATGCACTCAACTGCTCCTCAGCCACGGGGCACAACGACGCTGTGGGGTCCCGGCAAGGGCGATGGCTCGCTCCAGTGGGTCCGAGTCGCTGTCCTCACCGGTCACGAGCTTGGCCTTCACCATCAGAAGCCTTGGCTGACAGGAGACGTGGCGCTGCAGCGCAGCGTTGTGGCACTTTCAGCGAGCCGGAGCTCAGGCACCCACGCACCCGCGAGGGAGCTGTCCTCAGTTTCGGTTTGTAGAGAGGCCGCCAGCTTCTCATCCGAGAGAAGCTCAAGCTTGGCCAGCCTGAACTCGGGAAGTGTGGCGCTTGTGCTCGTCAAGACGCTGGGCCGGCCTGTCTAATCTGTCCTTGGCAAAAAGGTTGATCAGCCGCTCCAACTCCAGCTTCTGACATCGTTGCGGGTTTGGCGGAGCTTCTCCCCGAACTCCCCTCACTCCCGGCTCTGCCTCCTTCTCCGCTTGGGCAGCCTGTCGGTCTTTCTGCGCCTCACACAACAGCTTCTCACACACGCCTACACTTGCACCTTCGCTGGGCAGCCGGAAGTTGCAGGCCAACTTGTTCTTATGGGAATAAGATTCGCCAGCATTGGTTATGTAGGAGACAAAGAAGAACATCAGATGGTCGACCCGGTGAACATGAATGTCAAACATGGGCTCTGCTGGACTTTGCGTTTATGCAATAGAAAACCAGCCATCGGAGCTTCGCAGGTCCTTAATTAATGGCCCATCCAGGTGAGTGTCGCCTTTGGACATGCCACGAAGTTGCATAGCTTCAAAAGNNCCCAGGTTCGGGGGGCCCATCCCTGTATCCCTATAACTGTTGGCACTTTTGAGGCAAAAGTTACGACCCTCACGAGGATTTCGGGTGTATACCATATGGGGGAGGGCCACAGACACGCGACACGAAACTATATATGTGAGTATGCCACCATGCCATCGTGGTAAGCACCTGATACAGAGATACAGACTGCCTGAGGGCATCTAGTATTTTTAAGGTTTCACCCCGCCCCGCGAGGTGGGCCCCCAACCCTCGCCCGCGTGCACCCGCCCCGTCTGCGCTCTGGCCCGCAATGCACAACTACGCAGAACAGACACGGACAGACCACGGCCAGGTAAGATTGCCAGCAAGAGTGACAACGTTAACAACAACCGAATCCAGAATGACAGAAGACATTACAACACCAACGACAAAAAAGGACAAGGGCAAAACACCAAATATCTACAAGTAAATGAATGACAAAAATGACTCCGGAACTCACCCGAATCGACGCCGCGCTGCACTTTTCCAAACAGAATGCAAAGTGCGACATATGCGCATTTAAGCGAACATTTCACGAACGCATGGCGTGGTAAGAAGGATCGTCAGGTGCAGAAAGCAGCTGGTGCAAGATGTGCGAAATGCCAGCTGCTCTACCGGGCTTGAAGCAGACAGATGACCACAGAGCAGCGTAATGGCTGCGATCCAAACAACTCATGCTGCCCATCGTGTGAAGGAGTCGATGATGCCGCACAAAAACGGAGGCTTGCCAAGAACCGGCAAGGTACCTGCATGTTGAATGCCTGGGTTAACATCATGAGCACAATGATGTGAAGGTCATGGCTGCCTGCACAGTCGTTCGCACGGTTGCCTCCCCACATTCTTTGGTTAGCGCACATGTCTCGTTTTGTAAAATCAGACGCTTCAACCTACTTGGACAGAAATAGATGCGTGCAACATGGTGGAATCCAAGGTGTTGCACTGAAAAACTCCAACTAGCTCAACGGAAGCGTCCGTGCCGACTGAACAAAAACTGTGCATCTGTCACGGCACATGGTCTCTCACTGAATAGTGAAGCTGCCTGTTCCTGTGCTTTTTGCTTGGCCAATTCACGCTGCTGCTCTTTTCGAGCTTTCTCCTCGTCTTCCTTCGGCTCTGACAGCGATGGCGGCCAAGAACACCATTCCAGCACCTGCCTGCTTCTTTTGCCTCTCTTCTGCCTTTTTTGCTTTCCTGGTGACCACTGGACTTGCAACGACCCAACCATGATACCAGGGCCCAGAGTGCTTTCGAGAAGCAACTCTTCTTTCTTCTCTTGCTGCCGCCTAGCGGCCTGCACTGCTTCGGCAAAGCCGAAGGACAGCCAGCAAACTCCAACGGAACTTACGGTTTCTGTCAACTCTCGAAACTGGCCCACCTCCGCTGCGGCCTTTGCTTCTCAGGGACAGATCAGACCCAGACTTATGACAACTCGCGGTCGCTTTACAGCGCAACACCATGTTAGCATGAGCGTAGGCTGCTTTCTTGAAGCTTTGGACTTGGGTTGCCTGCCCACGGTAGTGTGGAAATTCTCACACCGACTTGCTTAACCCGGCTTGTCGTGTCTGTGCGAATCAACCGTGGGATGGATCGCCATGGCCTAAGACATCCCCTCTGCCGATCCGCTCTGACCGGTCCCCCCCCCCCCACTCTGCCAGAGCGACAGTTGAAGACCTCGTTCGAACCGCTCTCGGTCGACCTACTTCTGTGCCGCACCTGGTGCACCGGCAATCTGTGATGAACTTCGCGTGGTGCATCGCAACCATCACTAACCACACGGAATTGCCTAATAGAGCTCCAAGTACCGACCCCTTGATTTCCACAAGCCACAAGATTGAATCCTAGATGAGCGACCGGCACAGACTTCACTGTCGTTTGATTTCAAGAGGTATTAAAAATGCCTCAACAACAGACCAGAGAACGGTGCCGAGAATCGTTAGAAATTGTAAAAACATAACCACCAGTGCACAACTCGGGCGCAGATTGGCACTTTGCAGGCAAGGCTCGGCATCCTTTCTTCGCTGTTCCTGCCCGGATACGGTGACATGCCTTCGGAGCTGCTCATGCCGAGAATGTTGCTCCGCTCCTCTTTTTTCTTTTTTTCTTCTGCCCTCTCAGCGGCCAATCGAGCTTTTTCTGCAGCCTGCTGCTCTTCAACTATTCGCATTTTGGCCTGCCGTGGGCTTAGCAAGAATGCGGGCCGCTCTTCTTGCACGACAGCGGGCCTGGTTCTCTTTGGCCTCAGATTCGATTTGACATGCGGTGTAATTTGTAACCAGGCAGACTCATGAAGGCCGCCTTGTTCAAGAGGTTCAACCCGATATGTTCATGGAACCCTGTTTGTTGCTCCTAGTATTCATACCTGGCCTAGTTGTTCTCCAGCAGGCACGGTCTGAAAGGTTAGAAGGCAGAACGGGCTACGTTCTCACCCTAAAACCTTCAACAAGGGCGGGGTCTGCTTTCGCCACAATTTTTTCGGGGAGAAGAAGCAGAGCGCAGAAAAAAAAAAAAGCGGATCTGGTCCAAAAATGCCCGGTGCTCGGCTCCAGGCTCTCCGCCGCTCTTCGCTCGACTCGCGCTGGTTCGGTGCTTCCTCTCCAAACGAGAAGAGGTTTTTTCTGCGGAAAAAGGGGCAGACAGAAGGCTCCCACTGCTGGCTCAGCCGACCTCCTGGGAGTCGGTTGGGCCGCTGGTGGTGCTTTGTGCGTCTTCGCTCACCTCGGAGAAAAAGGGAAACTGCAAGCACATCGCTTTGCAATGCCCCACCGGCCACCCGGACCTTCATTGGGGTGAGGCCGATGGACTCGATGGCCTAGGCAAGGGCGGAAAGGGACCGGCTCAACCAAGCAAATGGCGGTAGATGATGCGCACCCGCAGTTACACCTGCAACCTGCTCTGCCTTCTTGTTGGCTCACCTCTGATTCCCACCAACTCGCTCATGGAACACAACTTTGAAGCTGCGCTTTGCATGCACCCGTCACGCCACCCCTCACAAGCTACCCAGCTACAGAAGGACAACCAAAGGACAACGGCTAACTAGTAGGCTTGGTGATACCGGGAGTCGGTCATAAAATCGAGCCTTGTGGAAGATGCTGGCCGCTGCAAGCGGGCTGCTTTCCTTCAAGGATTCCTCGATCTGGTTGCCCAACTCCCTCAACTGCTCTTCCTTGGGTCAGCGGTCGATGCCGCAATATACCGAAGTGGGCCGAGCAAGAATGACTCAAGAGAGTATACCGAAGAGGGTTGCCAAGCAGCGCTGAACTGCAAGCACACCTCGTTCAGCTGCTCGAGAACCACATGGTCCTTGACGGCCTGCCAAGGTTTTCTGTCCTTGCTAGCTTACCTGTATAATATAATATGATATAATATAATATAATATATGAAAAATTTCGTATCATATAAATATAGTATAGTAACATAGTATAATCTCATATGATACAATATATTATGTATAATATAAGATTATACAATATAATATGGCTTTTTCCAGCACCCGTGCACACGGTGCAGAGAGTCAAGGGGCCGGATGGAAGCTTCGGAGCCGCTGCCGACACTTCTTCACACGTTCCTCGGGGCCAGCTCTGTCTTTTATTTAACCCTTCACAACAGGAACTGACAGACAGCGACAGGAACTGAGCAGCCCTGAGATCCGGACCTTCACGGCCTCCTAGGCAGGTAGAAACACACAGGAGGGGGCTCGCAGTCGCTCACTGAGGCAGCGGCCCTCTTGGCCTTCTCCTCTTTGCGCTTCTGTTCCTCTGCCTGCGGCTTTTGCGGCACCCCGAGGGCCCCGAGAGGGCCTTCTTTGCAAGAAATGCGTTTCTGTGCAGGGAGCAAAGCAGGTGAGCGGCCAGGCGGAGCGCTTCTTCAGCTTCGCGCTGCTGCCGCTCGGCCTGCCCCCGAAGAGCCCCCGGCCCCCCCCAAGGAGAGTGGCTTCTGCTTCGCTCTGCTTCGCTCTTCGTCGCTCTTCGCTTCACTCGCCGCTGAGACACACTTTTCAGCGCCCAGCGAAGTCAAGCCGTCAAGCGCATGGACGCTGCATTTTGCAGGCAGTCGGTGAAACTGGATGTCTCGGATAGTGTGGCGCTGCAGACACGATTTTGGTCGACCTTGCTCGAACTGCTGGATATATACCGCCTATGCTGGCTCAGTGCTCAATCATCCGCAGCCATTGAGTCATGGTCATGCCTCTTCTTTGGGTACCTTGCTGCACTGATTGTCAGTCCCTGCCTACACTTCCAACATACAACTTCGCCCAAGCTGCAACTCACGGTACTCATCGGGATACAATGTCTTGACAAACTCTCTCTCGTCGATAGTGCCTCCTGAATCCTCACAGCGGTGCCCGCGGCTTGTGCTTGATGCTGCGGTGGATTTACGATGCCCATGGCTCCTTGTCGATCAGCTTGAACAATTCCGTAATCTCCTTATCCTTAAAGCCGATGTCCATCTCGTTGAGCCTCGGAGCGGTCAGGGAAAATGGCTTCCAAGAAGTTCAATAATTCATTTGCAACCGTGCAGCAGAACTTTAAACTCAGGCAAATCGATCTGCCGGGCACGCGAGCACAAACTCAAGAGCAAAAACATGCTCGCATGGAAAACACCGGCAGGGGGGGGGACCTCGGCACTATCGTCAAGGTCGAAGAGTCCGAAGAGCCGTGGCAGTTCGTGAGGACCAAACCCCTGGAGCAACAGGAACTGTAACAGTCACGCAAAGCATTTTTCCACGCCACATCTCCAACAGCCCTCCGAAAGATGCAGCCCAGGCACCCACTTGTGCAAACGGCTTCGGGTCTTCTGCAACAGAAGAATCCGTTAACGGCTTCCCCAGATTTGGGTGAAGGAGTGTCCGATGATCCCGAAGGGCATGGCCATATACAACGAGCTCACAACCATGAGAACCGAGGTCAAGACCAAGCCGCTTTGGGTAGAGGGAACCACATCGCCAAAACCAACTGTGGTAATGGTCGAAATCACGAGCCACGCTGCATGAGCCACTGTGGGCATGTTTTCACGCGGCTCAACCAGGTAAAGCAGCGATGTGAAACCATAAGCCATGACGATCATGATATACAGCATCACCGGCAAAGCCTCCAAGCAGTCTCGGAAAGCCTCAAGCAAGCAGGCAGGAGTACGTGGTCCTCGCATGCGAACTTAAAACACGATAAGCATGTTGCACCCGGCTTGTCGGAGTTCACATCATGCTCGAGTTCGATCCTCCGAGCTTGGGGACTCCCTGGGTTCAGTTGTGGGCATCAGAAGGGCGTGGAGAGAGACCAATCAAATTGCTACACAGATAGTCAACGACTATACAAGGGACGCATTGTACATCTCTCCCATTTTCTTTCTGTCCTTCTTGCTTGGTCTTTTGTTCGCTTCTTATTTCTTTGGGTCTTTCTTTCTGTCGCTCGGCCTCTGGTCATTTGCTCCTTTTCTTTCTTCCGTCCTTCCTTCCTGCCTTCCTTCCATTCTGCAGCTCTCTTCTGTCCTTCGTTTTCCTTGTGCTCGTTGTTCCTGTCTGCCCTCTCTCAGGTTTCTTGGCTCGCTCTTTCGCTCGCTGGCTCACTGGTTCGTTCGTTCGCTCGTGTTTCTTTCGTTATTTACATATGTTATTTCTTCCCTTGTGCTAATCTTTCTTCTTCTTCTTCTTATTCTTCTTCTTCGTCTTTGTGGTTCGTTTTTGTGTCCCTTCGTTCGTGCGCTGCTTATTTCTTGATGTTGTCTTGCTTTCCATTCGTCCTGGCAGGGCTTGTTCGTGTGAAGACGGAATCCTGGAATGACCCCGGCGACTGCACCGCCGGCTGCTCAGGTCTTGGTCCTCCGAAGGTCTCTCCGACCGCGTGCGCTGCGTCCCCTCTGCTTTTTAAAGGCCTCCGCAGGTTCTATGACAAACCTTGGTCTCCGACCTGAGCTGGACTGCCTGCCCTGCATGCCATGCCAGCGCTCCCTCCAGCGCAGGGGCTTGCAAAGCATCTGCTTCGGTGGCTGCAGTACTCGTGACCGTTATAACCGGTCATAAGCTGTTGAAAGCTTCCTGGATTCCCGGGTGTGTGGGCGTTCTTCTTCTTCTCGCGAACGTTGCTACAAAGGCTAACAGTTGGCCTCTAAGGGAATGCCCCGGCTTTGCGAACCATGCATCCTCAGCACGGGAAGCAAAGCCTATTGACTCAACAGCTCCACGGCTTGATGCTTTAGACTCTGCTTTAGAAGGTGTTTGATCAATGAGCGAACAATCAAAGCTCCGGTATGTCAACTTCGATCAACTTCGGTGCAAGATCGTCTCTTGTTGGCTTTGCATGCACGCCAGCATTATGGGCTCGGGATGCTGGTGCTGTACACCAATAACCACGTAAGCGAAAGTTTGGCGTTGAAAGTGGTCGTTGCGACTTGCTGCCATGTAGCGGCTTTCAAGAGCTGCAGGTAAGTGAAGCGCCGCACCAGCCGCAGCAATCGTATCATGGGCATCGCAGCCAGGAGAAAGGCATCGCCGAAGGACCCGAAATCTTCCCCGAACTTATCCTTCAGCACCTTGCTTTTGGCCAGCAGGCTGGTTGCGGTAATAGGAGGACATCATTAGCACCACAACGAAGCAAACAGTAACACTGTCGCACGCCGCATCCAATTCCAAGAGGCGAGGAGAAGAACAGGAAGCGCACTCGCGCAGTCGATGAGGTTCTCCCAGCGCTGCTCGCCAGAGAAAATCATTGCCGCGTGCGGATAACAGAGGAATCGGATGACGGTCTCCGCCAATAAGATGGAATCGATGAGAACATTGATCAAATCCTTGTAGGCTGACGCGAGCTCGATGTTCAGAGCCGGCAAGAATGCGAACAGCATTCCTAGCAGTGTGAAGATGGAAATGCCGTAGAAGTAGGAGGAGGCGAAAGTGCTGGAGTCTGGATCTTCCAGAAAATCCGTGACTGCCTTTGACATCCAAGACTGCTTGCTGTAAATCTCCAGCGGAATCTGGGCACGTGCTAGTCGTTCCTGGAAGGGAATACCCATACCCTCGAGGTTCAGTGTGCTGTACTTGTGCCGCTTGTGGCGATCTTCCGCCTTCTCGACTTTGAGAAGCGGCAGGCTTTCCATGGCTTCCGCCTCCACACGATCGGAACGGAGGATGGTCCGCAGGTCCTTGAAGGAACCGCGTTCGGAGGGGTTGACCTGGTTAGCCTCTTTTGCACTCCTGGCGCTCAGCACGAGCGCACTCTGCGGCTTCCGCGGCGAGGCGGAGAGTGAGCCATCGCGGCCCTGGCCCTCGCAGATGCGGCTAACAGTCGCCTCCATCTGCCGCAAGAGCCCTTCCGTGATGTTGTGGTCCTGGCAAGGAGAGAAAATAACCACGAGGGGTCCAGGGGCTGCCTTGCCTGCCTCTCGCCAGAAGTTGCCGAATGGTCATCGCGTCCGTAAGTTTAACCGAAGATCCCCACCGTTAAAATCGTTTCAAAGCGAACAAAAATCTCGGCCGTTGTAGTGGCTTCCAATGTAAAGAGTGTTGAAACACGCCCTGGGGGCTTCGATGCAAGTCTGAAGTTCGTCTTGTCTTTCAAATCTTTCTCCCGTCTCTGGCCTTTGGCCAGCCTTTCAACATTCCAAGGCCGGAGAACAGTGGCTCAAGAAGACTGGGCAGACGAAACAGAAAGATATTTGACTATTAGACCGACCGTCTGAAAAACCAGACGGCCCCTGAAGTCGAGAACCCTCGAATGCCGACAGGAACGCGCAAGGGCCTTCAAGGCAAACCCCCGAACACAAACCTACACCAGGGCTACCCAGGTCGCTGAGAAGCTTACAAGGCACTAGACAAATCATCTCACTCCCGATACTGCATGACACCATTGTGTGTCAAGTGTAGAAGCTGATCGATCAAGCTCAGGACTACAACCTGCCGTATTCGGACACCACAGAGAACTATAGGAACACGAGAGAGATCCCATGCAGGCTCATGCGCTGCTCAGTGGACAACGAACTGGCGCATGGCTGCTATGTGTCCTGTCGCAGTGTCTGAAGTACATCCTCGATACCTTGGAAGCTCTTTCACCCGGCGGACCGCACTGCAGCCACACTGAAAACATCCAAGGGACGATGTTCGATCGCCGCAAGTCTCTTGGAGAGGTCCACCGGGGAGGTCTTTCCACACTGCATGGCACCCGTCTTGCACCGGGTTTCACGCTGATCGTGGCTGCGTAACTGTGGAACACACTCGCACAACCCTGTGTGGCAAACGCAATCCAAGAGCTTGCGTAGTTCTGCGAATCTCACGCCTCTTCCTTGGCTCGCTTGGCAGCCGTTCGCTCCTGGGACCCTCATACACAGAATTTCAGAAAAAAGGGATCCCATTCCCACAAAGCTCCTCCTCTCGTCGGGCAGCCTCTGCTTCGCGAGCCAGTCGCTTGGCCTAGCAGTTAAAAGATGCCAAGCATGACCAAAAGAAGAGGCGACAGGTAGACAAATGGTCCCACCTCTTTCTCTGCCTGCAATGCTTGAAGACATGGTGAAACGTGGCGAAATTTTGGCTGGGTTGCGAGAAGCTCAAGGGACCTGAATGCGAGGATCGAAGGACTCGGCCAAACCTCACAGTTCAGCAAAAGCCAAGACAAGGAAGTCTTGGGCTCCTCTGAGGAAAGTCAGCCTCGGACTGACAAGCTTGGAGATCCGGTCGCGCTCCTGCTGCTTGTACTGCCGGGCCACACGCTGGTTCTCCCTCATCATCCAGCGCCTCCCAGCGGTGCGTGGACACTGCCCTGCCCCCCAGCACCGGCCCCCGCCCGCCGCTCCTCTCTTCGCGGCACTCTGCTTCCTCAAGGTCACAGATCTCCTCGCCAGCTTTCTGTGCGAGCATCACCTCATCACATACTGTGTGCCGAACACCATTCCCTTGCTGGATGTGCTGCGATCAATGCTTGTAAGGATCGAGCTGGATCTCTCCATGATTGAAAGCCATACCTCGTCATAAGGTATGCGACTGTTGGCCGAAGCGGGAGTCTTACACCGAGGTCACCAGAAGTCGTAAAAGCGCTTCCATACTCGAGGCTCGTCCTGGCAAAGATTCCGGCTGGAGTCCGGAACAGCAAAGCCGCGCACAAACTCCTCCAAGCTTCCCAACTCGGGAACGGGGCGCTTCATAGAGAAACGAGCATTCCGGCGGAACACCTGCAATCAACTCGGCTGCAGATTCGCCCTCCTACAAGCGTTCCCTTGGTTGGCCTCGCCGAAGACCTGGAAAAAGTCCTGGCCGCTCTCCGGGCGAAACTTGGGAAGGCTCCTGAGCCCCGCATACACCAGGTTGATAATGCTGGCGGTGGTGGTGATGATGCCGTTGCCGACGACAGGTAATGATGGAGGAGATTGGACATGAACGGTGAAGCACTGCATGAGATGCCAACAACGCAAAAAATAACAACATGCAAGTTTGCAAAGACGTGAAAAGCCGAGCGTCTCATCGAAATCCAAGCTGGAGTCGTATTGTTTCCGCTTCGATTGGTCGGAAAGGAGCTCGTAGGCTTCCTGGATTTTCACGAAGTTCTCTTGCACCTCGCAGAACGACAGTAGCGCTCGGGTCGCAACAGTCACAGTGGTGGTGGCAGCCTTCGTTTGTATATGTTGTCGCTCTTGCGAACGCTATGCTAATGGTAATAACTGTTCGTCGTGTGTTCCACAGCAAAGAGTCCGTTTTTCTCCGTGTCTCGTGATGTCACTGTAGTTTGTGCTGCCTTCTGGGGCCAGGGGACGAGGCCCGTCGCATTGATGAAGGCTCCCGAACATGCAGAGGCATGCCCCAGGCGGGCGCGCGCGTATCCGCCCCCCTCAAACAGGGGAGGGGGGGCTCTGCCGATCCAAGTTAACCCCCCGCGATGCCTGAGCATTGTGTCCGCGATGCATATGACTGGCGTGCAACATAGGGTCGTCCTCAGAGCATCTGTGGCGACTCTGGCCCTGGACTGGCCCTGGACTGGCCCTGGCCTGCCAAAAAGCATGTCTAAACTCAAGCTCTGCTTCGCGAGCTTTCGCTGCCAGAGCGGAGCATCCGAATACTTAGGCGGTGGACACTTGACACAGTCATCATAGTTGCACGGTTGATACAATCACCCTGTGTCCTTGCGGAATCATAGCTGTCACAGCTCTTAATTATGGGCACACAGCACGTGGCAACAGTATCCGGTGGCCTTCTTGGCTTCATCTGGTTTCATTGCAGCCTGCTTGTCCGGATGCGCTGTCAGGGCCAAGCCTCTGTAGGCCTTCTTGATCTCGTCCTGTGCAGAACACAAGCAGCCCATAGCTGCACTCAGAAGACTGCGACTACAAGGCATTGTAAGGCCTGCGAGGCACCCTCCGAAATGCCCATCAGATTGTAGAGATTCACTCCTTTCAGTAGGTCACCTTACAGGAGATGACACTGGAGACGACCCGCTGCAAACGCTCCAGGCTGTCAAGACTCTGATCTTCAAGTACCCACCGGAGGATTTGTCCTCGCACTCAAGCAATTCACAGCAAAGCCGCGTAGAAGGCTAAGGCCTAACACAGGAGCGGCAGTCCTGGCCCTTGCCTGTGGTGTAATCCTCACCGACCTCAGCCTCCTCGGCTTGGTCGCTCTCACTCGGAGACGACTGGCCATCAGTCGCCTCGGAGGCAGAGAAGGGCGCTGCTACGGCGGCTACGGCGGCTACGGTGCCACTGGCCCCCCGCCTCGAATCGAGCAGCGAAGCTACGCCCTGCAGCTTCGCATCTGTAGTTGGCAGCAGCCTCTTGGGGCTCAGGGTCGTCCCTCGCAGTGTGCTTTGTCACTGAGATCTGGGCGGTGCAACCGCCAGCTACCACTTGCGCAGGCGCACAGCAAGCGCAAACGACTTCCTTGCAATTTGCTTGGCACCGGCTACCGACACATCTTCATCAAGAAGCGAGACGGCCCCACGTTGAGGCCCACGGACTCTGGATCGTCAAGGAGGGCTCTCAAGTGCTTCCGTGCCATCTCGGAAGCCTCAGCGCCATGCCACGACTGCATGGCTCGGGTCGGTGTGGGAACCCGAGGATGCCGCACGGCCGTGTCTGGAGGAAGGAGCAGCTAGAGCCCAGCGGAGAGCGGAGCGAGCCGAAAGATTTGAAATCAGTTCGCTCGGAGATGCAAGCCCTGGCACAGCACGCAGCCTGCAAACGCGTCTCTGCAAACTCTCGCTCTTTCAGGAAGGCTCCGAGCTCTCGACGCTTCGGCCCGTCCCTGTTGCGCTAACGGCAGCTAGCAGCAGCTAGCATCCTTCGAAGTCCTTCCACGACGATTGCAGATTCCGAGGGGGCGGGGCGGTCTTGCAGATCGGGAATTGTCCTCCCAATACGCACTCCCATAGTCCGTGATCAGCTCTGAACCCTTCTTCACATCCTTCGTTGTCCTTAAGCGCAGAAAGTGACGCCACTCGCCCTGTGATCTGTAGCCTCTCACTTGCCTGAAGTAGGCGACATCGCCGAACTCGCAGATTTGCACATTCACCTTCTTGCACTGCCTCGCGACTGCTCACGGTTGATACACGCGACCGCACCCGACCAGTAGTTATATACTATGCGGACGAGGCACTCCTTGGTCCTTGCTGCATTGACAAAACGCACCGGGTTTTTCTCTAGCGCCACGCGGCCATCGACGCAAAAGGTCGTGGCAGCCCCGGCTTGCTCCGCCTGGAAAGACTGTGAGAATCTGTGAGAACTCGGAGGGCTCTTTCTGGCGTCTGGGCTGCTGGGGCTCGGACAGTCTGCAGCTGTTCGTCGGTGAAGTTGAAGAGCGCCTCAGTTCTTTCTCGGGAGAGGAGGGGACCTGGCCTCCTGTTCCTCAATCCGTGCGAGAAGCCTCTTCTCGAAGGGGGCAGTAAACGTAGTCCATTTCGCTGGTACCTCTCATCTTGCGGAACTCCGCAAGACCTGATGAGCCATGCTGCGATCAGGATCATCACTGTGCACACGGGCCACCCGAGATCATGGCTCAAAGGCTTGCCCTGATAGGGGGGGAGCCTTTGCACTTCTCCGAGTAGACAGAACGCACAGCACGATGTCTTTCAACTTTCTGAGTGCCGGACACAGTGTACTTCGGCAGCGGCACAGTCGTAAACAAACCGTCGCCCGCTGTTTCACCCAATGTGGAAGGCTTTATTTGGAGGTTTTTCCCGTCCTCGACAGCACAGGACGTGATGTGCAGGAAGTGGCGGAGCCTTGTGTCCGGTCCTCTGGGTTCCACTTCAGCAAGTTGGCCGTTTTCCAGGATAGGTGGTCTCAGGCGCGAAAAAAAGGCGCAAGAGAGCCGGTGCTGCTGGTCGGTGCCTCACCTGCCCAGCCCTCCTCGCCCTGCCCCGCTTCGATGCTGTCGAGCCGGGCCCTGGCAGCATCTGCTGGGAGCTTGTAGAGGCCTTAGCGGCGAGCGGCTAGTAGCGCATATTCTGCCAGCTAGCGGCCAACAAAATCTGCTCTGCTTTTGCTGCTGCTCCCTCTGAGCTGCTCTTCTGAGCCCGGCACCGCCTGAGACCACGAGCTGCTCGGAGGACTGATAGTCGCTCAAGAACTCATGGCAGTTGCATTTCGTCTCCTGCCCTTGGGAAGGAGAACAAGTCGGAACTGTCACCACGAACACAAGTGCGTGTGTCGGCGAGCTTTCCTTGCCAAGACTCCCTGTTTGACATCGATGCATGTCGTTGCACACCAGTCCCGCTCACAGCATTCGCACGGGAGCCCGACGATTTTCTGCACAGAATCACGTGTTTGTGCTTTCAATCCGAAAGCTCTCGAGGTACAGGGTCTGTGGGCGCACAAACCGAGCTTCTGCCGGGTCGGGGTCCAGGGTGGCCGCAGCCAGCGACGTCGACCACAACCAGGCACCTGCAGGACCGGGGCTCTAGAATCTCGAGAAACTGCCGACGAAGACCCTCCATGTGCCTGTCAAGACCTGTCTTCGAAGAGTTCGCAAGCTTCCCATACTCTGGCTCAGGAAGCCTGTGACCCGCGGCGGCCCGCGACTTGCAGACCGCAACACTCGCAATCCCGAGCCTTCCATATTCCGGCTGGTGGCCAGCAGGACCAAACCGCAAACAGCGGCTCCTGTCCAAAGAGCAAAGCGTGGGATCGAGACTGCGGTGGCCCTGGCGGTGCGCCGTGCGAGACCAGGTGCCACTGCTTTTGCCGCCGCCTGTCAGTCGCCGCGTACGCCGGGGCTCGCCGGGTCCTAAGGAGACAGCGAAACCTCCGATTCGACCGATCCGAGGATCGAGGACCCGGCCAGCCATGTTTGCCCCCTTGCTGGCCCTCTCTCCCTTTCGAGCCGAGCTTGCGCACTCCGGCCCACGGGATAGACTCGAATAGACATTGCGGGTAGGCTCTCTCACGGAAGACGTGACCTTTTGCTTGCTGCTAGCCGGCTGCACGCCAGTGGCGGGCTTGATGTCTGAGGCGCACTGGGTCTGCAAAGCGACTGTCCCCGAAGAATCGCGCGACGATGCCGACGCCAAGTCCAGCCACGCTTCCGCCAAGGTGAGCCGCCCAAGCAATTGGGGGCAGGCGAGCTCGCAAAAAGTAGCCAATCAGATTCGAGATAAAAGCAACATCGCACAGCTGAGTCATTGAGAATGTACCCACAAAGAGCACGTGAAATCGCCGCTCTGGCTGCATGAGGCTACCGGATGACAGAAGACCCATGAGCAAACCGCTCGCACCGAGTACTGGGCGCCGGTGACACAGAACATGGCCGAGACTGGAACCGGCACAGCAGGCCGTGAAGAGAGACAGCTGCTCCTGGACGGACAATTCTTCTGCCACCCGGCCAAGTGTCCACAAACCCCAAGAGTTTACTAGGAAATGCGTTGGGCGCTGATGGGATAGGCAGCTCGTGATCAGTGTGTGAACTCTACCATGTCGTAGGTGCCAGCGACTGCACATGAAGTGACCAGCTAACCAGCGGCCCACCAAACGACTGGACCCAAGGTGCGGGGCTGCAGCCCACAAAGAGAAAGTCGCCGCATTCGCTGCAAGCAAGCAGCCGACAATACTCTTTGGCGTCGCCGGCTCAGGAGTCGCAGCCCTTCTCCCAACATTCGCATCATGGCCTGCTTCCATCCTAGGTGGCCCTGCTTCAGAACCGATTGACAAAAGGCATCGCGGGCATCTTTCAAGTATTCGCAACAGAAACGGGAAAAGAGACAGCGAGAAATAAAACAACATGAGAGAGGAACGACGAGATGCATATAAGCATTTATAGCCATAGCTACTGAAAAAGAAACATCCGAATAGATTGTATGAGCGAACATATGTGTAGAGATATGCACAGTTTTGTTAAGGCATATGCAGAAAAACCGCCTCCCCTCCTATACCGGACAGGTTCACATTGTGTTTTTCCCGAAAGCTCTGCGAAGGGTTCTTTGGAAAAGGTCCGTGCATGCTTACATGACACACATGTATAACGCATACACATACCTACACACAGTTACACTACACACATATGATAACACATGCTCACACTGCACACAAAAACAGCGCATACACATACATAGCACGCTTACATCGATTTCTATATTCAGCCTGGGGTAGGTACACCGCACCATACACCACGTATCGACACACACTGCGCCTTTGGCTCTCTATTCTCTATTTCTACTGTTACCTATTTAACCTATTTCTATTGGCCTGGGGTAGGTCTGGCGCATCTTAGCGCGATGAACCCTCTACAGGGATCCTGCGTGTCGTGGCGCTGGTGCTGTGGTGCGGTGCAAATTCTCGTTGCGCTTTGAACCCTCTATACTAGGACTCCGCATGTCGAAGCGCTGGTGCTGTGGCACGGTGCAAACTTTCAACGCGGCCGATGAAGCTTTTATTAGGGATCATGCATGTCCTCCAACATCGCCGATGAACCCTCTGCACGCGTCGAATCGCTGGTACTGTGGTTCCGTGCACTTGTCTCGCCGATGAACATCGTGTGCGTCCGAGGCGCTCCGGCTATGGATCCGTGCGAATGTTGAATCTGCCTTGGCGCGCGCCGATGAACCTTTTACAGAGATCGGAATGCCCTTGGAGTGGCCGGGCCTCCAAAATACTGTTTCCGAGTACAAATGTAGTACGCGGAAGGTTCTTCGAGTGGCCAGGCCCTCAAAATACTGTTTTGGAGCACAAACGTTTCTTCGAGTGGCCGAGCTCCAAAATGTACAAACACAGTACGCGGAATTCTCTTCGAGTGGACGGGCCCCGAAAATACGGCTTCCGAGTGCCTGGCTTCTTGCGAGAAGCAACCGTAGGAATCGCTTGAAGACGACCTTTTTCGATGCCGGTCATGCTTGCGTTTCTTCCGCTTCTTACCGTGAGCATGTGCTACCTGATCCATGTTTTCCTCTGCACCACTGGAAATGTGTTGGACAATGTCCGTTCGATACTTTCGATCGGACCTTTTGCCCCCGCTTGCCAAAGTTACCAAGCCCTGTTGTGCGTCGCGTTTGCATCTTTGTTTTCTCTCCGGCTCCCGTCCGCATTCAATTCCGGCTGGCCTCTTTTCCCCCTCGTCCGGAAGCGCTTCTGGAATAGTCCGGGCACCAACCAGCCCTGCAGTACTTACCTGGTCCAACAGGCTGCTGGGCTCTGAGGCATCTCGGATCCGCTGCCCATGGTCACGAGCACTGGTTCGCTAGGGCCAGCCGCCTCGGCTGGACCGGGCCGGGTCTGCTTTTCTAGTTTCCTCTTCTCAAGACTTAACGCAACAAGAGCCCTTGCACCTACCGTGGAGAGCAGGCGCGCAGGTCCCTTGCCGCAGCTGTTCGTGGCGTCCGCCTCAGAGAGGCTCCTGGTCAATGCTCTGCAAAGACCGGCTCGGCTATACGGG